CGGCACGGCGGTTGGGTCCACGGCTTGCTGCCGCTGCCGCCGCCGCAGGGGTGCTGCCTGCGGCGGCGGCGGTAGCGCACGTGGCAACCCCCGCGCTTTCCTTGCCTCCCATCCACCGGACCCCGTCCTGCGCTTCACTTTGTTTAGGGAGGGGCTGCTCACTGCTCATTGCTCATTGCTCACCGCACACTGCTCAACGCTCATTGCCCTATATCCCACCCAGCCGCAGGACTCCACTGCCGCCCGCGCCCCGCCCCATCTGGCCGCTTGCGCGCCCCATCCCCCCTCGATGGGGCCCGCCCACACCGGGGCCTCCCCCCTCCCGCCCACTGCTTTCTCAACGGCCCCGAGCCGGGGCTGCCCTCATTGCATACATAGTGCGCCTTTCCCTGCTTTTCTAGTGACCTAGCGTTCCGCACTGCCATTTGGCCAGCCCATGCTCCTGTACCGTTGCGTTTCTCCCCAATGCGCCATGCCACTTTGCCAGTCATACACACGTTTCGATGCGTGCCCTGTCAGCTGCTTGCGTTGCATGTCGCCTTGCTCCACCCTTGTTTTATTGCTTTCTCTGCTTTCGCCCGGTTCCCGTCCCGTTTCGGCGGGGAGTCTATGTTGCAAGTTAGTTCTTGCTTTACCAGACTTTAAGCCCACACAAGCAAGCAACTAGTGGGGGGTACTGCACTTGGCGCGTCGGGCAGATCAAATAATGGTCTAAAGCTAGACGGCATTCATTCATTCATTCAGCACACAGACCGGCCGCCTCTTGCTCGAGGGCGGCCCACTTTGGCCTGGGCAGCCCGGGCCGCCCTCCCCCCCGGGCGCATGTTCGGTGTTGGAGGGGTGTGCCCAGCGATAGGGGGCCCCTGAAGGCATGCGCCGAGGCCGGGAAGCGTGGTTCGGCGCTGCTGCACGCTTGGCGATTTGACCAGAACCACGTGCCGCCGAGCTGCGGCCGCAGTTTCCGGCCCACGGTCTACGGTCGCAGCCACGGGACTCGGCGGCACGGCGTTTGGGCCCAAGCTTGCTGCCGTGCCCGGGGGGCAGCGCGGCGGCGGCGGCGGCACGCTGCGACGCCCCCGTGCTGCCGAGCTGCGGCCGTAGTTTCCTGCCAGAAGCCCACGGCCACAGCCACGGGACTCGGCGGCACGGCGTTTCGGTCCACGGCTTGCTGCCGCCGCCGTCGCAGGGGTGCTGCCTGCGGCGGCGGCGGCACGGCGTTTGGGT